CAATGATCATGCTCATAGCTTGTCATACAAGTGTATCCACGAAATAAATACTTATTGCAGTTGCAACTCACTTGACAGAGACTGTTGTTTCGAAGAAAATTCACAGAATCCACTATCAAATCTAGTGGTGGGCAAAATAGTTCCCCTTACTGAGCGGTTCTGACCTTTTCAGGTCACCACGGTGAACTTGTTCTTTGGAGCAGCTCTTCAGCTTGGACTTCATTGTTCAAAAGAAGATTCATTACGCCACTGGTGCTGGTTCACTAGTGCTGAAAATTTTTATGCTGACAAAAATCGCCAAGTGTCAAACACTACACACAATGCGAGCAAGCTGATCATGCTGAAAGCCAAAAAGTCAGTCAGCTTACAAATTCAGGAGCGCCTGGCACATCATGCTCACGTCCAGCTCAAGGTTCGCGCTCTCGCTCAGTGAACAAACTCTAGCTCAGCGGCTACATAGCAAACAGACTCTATCGTTCAGCTCCCGTTCGCGCTCTCGTTCAGTACAACCTGGGACGGGACTTGATAATCGGGTCGCAATTTCAAGCCAATTTACTCTCAAATCAGAGCCAATTCTATTGTCACTTTTAAAATAGACCAATGTAACATATCCACCATTTTGAGAAAATTGATGTTGAAGTTTGACAGATTATTATTTTAACTGTTTAGAAACAATACATTTTGCAATACTATTTTTACTATAATTTAAATTTCATGCTACAATATCGAAAAAACCCCATAGTACGTTTTGACTAGTCAAGTTGTGCATCGGACATGTTACATTTGACGATTTTTTTCAATGACTTAATCAATGAGTGCTACATTGGACGTTTTATTCTACATGATACATTCCCTTTCACAGACTTCAGAATATAGTACCTAACCTAACCAATGAGAACCAGTCATGTAAGGCAGTCCAATTGTCCGAAGTATCCATGACGTAACCATCATTTCAAAATGTACATTGGACAATTTTTGACCAACTCATCAAATTTAAATCGCTAAAAATTAGCAAAATTTTGCTGATTTTGGACTTGATGCAAACTTTCCAGCAAAATAAAACTACTGAAACATTCTGCAGTTTGAACTTCTGTCAAATTGAAAACATTTGACTGAATCTTCAGTAAATCTGTTTTTTTCTTTCTGATACTGCAGCAAATGTCTTTTGACAGTACTTAGCTGGATGTCCAGCAATATTTTTGTTTGGCACGTTTGCTGCAGTATCAGTAATATTTGATACATTTGTTTTCGCTTTAGTAAAAGTATAGATTAATGCAATTCACTGTATTGAATCTTTATTCAATTGTGTATTTAAATAAATCCAAGTAGATAATGAATAATTAATACGGTGAAAACATGCGATCTTGTATTTAATATTGACTCATTTAGCTTGCGATTCCAGGTAGAAAACCTTGTGAAGAGTGCTAAAATTATATGGACATATTGCTTAAATAATCAAATGATAAATCCAATTCTCTTACTTCGGTTCTCTTCCTGGTCAATTCGACTTGTAATCGCACGATGAATTTGTAAAAAAACGCACATTCTAAAAACTATGAACGCATTAATGTAAATCTCAAAACAAAAAACTTGTTTTGACAGATCATGTTGTTAGCTGAACATCCAGCAATATTTTCTAGCATGCTGATTATTTAGTATAAAGTGGTTTTGCTGGACTAAGTTCAGTTATCCATTTTGCTGGAGCTCGATTCAGAGGTTTGGTGTGTATGATTGATTATCTTAGATAAATGAAAGTAAATTTGGATGGGTGTTTTTGCATCACATACAATGATAGAAGAACAATAGCTTGTATCGATTAATTCGATTTGTTAACATTTGTTACTTAGTACCTTTTGAAAAGTTATGATCAATTATCGGATGATTGGCCGATTTGACTGTAGTAATAGTGGGATAAAAAGAACAAAGTGATCACAGTTACCTGACAGGCAGTGATGCCGGAATCAATGTTAAGTGCACTACGCGTTTTGAGCAATGGATGTTGTTGTTTGTTTATGATTGTTTTTATTTTGTTCATCAAAAAATATGTACAAAGTGCTATTACTGCGGTAGAAACTCCGAATCAAATAAAAATAAAAATAGAAACGTCATTCTGCAATGCTGGCAACATTGGTCAACTCCGTCAAACACTACGCATAAATTTTCGAAGGACGCTCATCAAAAACATGAACACATTAGAAGCTCGATTGTCAAGTCCCGTCCCGGAGTGCAACTAGGTCAGCTATCAGATCAAGTTTTGGTATGGTAAGCGAGTTAGCTACCAATTATTTAAAACGAGCTCATTCATCCTGGTCAACTAGTTGTTTGGCTAAGTTCATGAGCTAATTTCTCACCACACATGGGTCTCCTAGCAAGGATCTGGAAATCAGCAAAGTATACATCAAAGATGTATTGCTTGCATAGGAAGTAAATTTGGCCAGCATACACCTTCCGGTTGTATGAAACAGGTCAAACTCCGTCGTAATTTTTTTGTTTGGATAGATTTTATGGCAATATAGGTAACTTTTCACGAACTTCAATGGCAAAGAAATCACCAACACTGGCTGATTGGTTACACCTTCGAACCCTAGTATCTCCCATATCTTGCCCGTTTCATCCATAGGTAGCTTGCATTGGCATATCTAATTGGGATTCCTAGGAGTCCAGGCTCCCTCAAGAATGACCTAGGCCCTCTCCAGAATGTTTTGAAGTTTAATATAATTTAAACTATCGATATTACAATCTAGAGAGGGGCAGGAACCGTAGGCATCCCCGGATTACTTATTTGACATTCGCGACTATCCTTATATCCATTAACCGAAACCTACCCGTCCGGTAGCAAGCAGCCATGCTCAAAGCCCTTACTTATGTACTCAAGTGGTACATCGGATTCCCATGTTTTTCCAAAATTCCAAAATAGTAAAATCAAAGGCTTCAATGAGAAAGTTCAAAAGACTTAAAAGAAATGTCCAAAGGTCTTGGATCAGCAAATCTGATTCGATTATTAAAATTAACCTGCAGTCTGCTTCGAAGGTTTGTGGAACTCCTCATGGTATTTCCTGTATAGAGCTTTTCACATCCGCTTGTATTGGTGCGTTATGTGGGAGCATGTTAGTGAAAATCCTAGGAAAATACAAAACAAAAACGCTAAAACCGTACAGAATCATTTTTTACAACAAAACTACCCTCACTGAGGCTTAGGGGACAATGAAATATAGCTTTCGTCTGAACATACCAAGGGTGCACAACTTGAAGTTTTGACGATATTTCAGCGTTTAACGATTCACTTGCTACGAAACATGAAAATCCTTCAAGTCCACCAATTAACTGTAATTCCTTCGGTGATAGATGCAATTTGCCTCCAACTAAACCATTTCTAGTGGCTTTTCCTCATGCCATGTGATTCTACTATTAGATCACAACTATTTCAGAGGTAGCCCTGGTTTTTTTTCTAGCTATGCTACTCTCCCTGCAGCTTCATCCTGGATTGATCTGAGTTCACATTTATTAGAACTTAGTATCCGCACGTTACATGCTTAAGTTTTCCTACTGCATGCTTTCAACAATCCTAAGGTAAACGAATCAGCAAATATCAAATTTCAGCATCAAACATCAATGCTTCAATTTAATTTAAAAAAAAATACATCATCTGCTCTGGATTCAAACAATCGACACACTGTCATTTTAAAAAATCAACAAAAAAAACCTTCCTAATCATCTCTTTCTCGCTTGATGGTTAAATTTTCCACCAAAACAAACACAAAGTCTTAAACCTAGCCACAAAAGCAAATCACCTTCCAAAATTATTGCCCATCCCATGGCATCTTCGTTTCGCTATCCATGCTAAATTCGCTGTTCCGCATTAACTCCACTCGTCTCCGATGCTAGGTAAAAGCAGAAAACCAAAACAAAAACCCGCTTCAAACCACAGCCCAGCTATCCATAGCCTGACGCCCTGCCGGAGCTTTCCGCTAATCACCGTTCACACTATGCGCGGCAATGCGATCAATTGCACACCGGGAACCAAAACAGAGGGAGCAAGTGTGAATGTCGAGGTTCTTTCCCATCACAGCATGCCAAGCCGTCCGTCCGTCGCTGCTGGTCTTCCCAATCCCAACCCATTCATGTCGTCCGTTAGCAGTAGCAGCAGCTACTACAGCTGTCTAGTAGTAGCTGCTACCGCTTGAAAAAAAAACTAAACCATCCGTCTGTTCGCAATGTTCTCGCTTTACAGACCTCCACAAAAGAGACAAAACGCAAAACAAAGCGAAAAATAATTCAATTTGACAGCATAATTGCACATTTCTGCATCGACGATAACGATCGAGATGGCAACGGATAAGTGCATCTCGCGCTCCGCTCATTTTCTTGGCTTCGAATGGCTCGGTTTGCGAAAATATGTCTCTCGCTTGCCCAGGGAAGGAGAAGATGCGAGAAGATGAGCCGCGTTGCACCGTTTTATGGTTGCAGTAGCTTTGGAATTGCATAAGGCTTAATAATTCATCAATTTCATGTTCGGCTCAGATTGCACTGCTAACTGGGTGGCAGCTCGGTAATGATTTCCAACGGCTCGTGTCAAGCCAAACGATCGAAAAGTCATGTAAGATCTATGCCGATCTTTAGAGCATGCATTTTTTTTCGGAGGGGTTATGCGAAACGAAACAAAAACAATAAAGCACATGTAAACACACTGGCATCTAGGTTACGATCGTAAATATCCGACGCCACTCATCAGAATTGTTCGCTTGAAAGAAGATATACTAACAACCCCCGCAATAGCCGACAGATTACATTGTAATGTTTACAAGAAAAGCGCAGATTCCCGCGAGATTCCTATCAGACGATTATTTCCTACACATTCGTCGTGACGATTAATTGTAGGCCGCACGGCAGATGGAAAGGTTCAATCCATCACTTGTCAACACGTCGCACAACTCTGACCTCGTGAGATCTTTCAGCCCAAGCTAGGTTCTAATGTGTGAACTTTTCCTTTGTTCTTCTAGACGAGCATGAGATCGCAACATAAGCTCACAGCCCTTATGGTGCTGTGCTGTGCCCTAGGGCCAGCATTCGCCGCATCGCTAGCCAAACGAGAGGCGCCTCTTCCTGGTGGCAGCTATCTGCCTCCATCGAGTGGAGGAGGTGCCGGAGGTTATCCAGCAGCTGGTCCGCCGAGCGGCAGCTACGGCCCACCAAGCAGCGGAGGTGGACAAGGAGGTCACGGAGGACAAGGAGGTCACGGAGGACAAGGAGGACATGGAGGACAAGGAGGACAAGGCTACCCATCGGCTGGTGGTGCTCCATCTCAGCAATATGGTGCCCCATCACAGGGCGGACAGTCTCCATCTCAGCAGTACGGTGCACCATCGGGCGGAGCTCCATCCCAGCAGTATGGTGCTCCTTCCAGCGGAAGTGGTTTCGGAGGACGTCCACAGGGTCCTTCCCAGCAGTACGGTGCTCCAAGTGGTGGAAACGGTGCATCTCGGTAAGTCAATGCTAGAATGACTGTACGTGGAACAATCTACAAATTTTGCGGTATTTTACAGCCCATCTCAACAGTATGGTGCCCCAAGCAACGGCAATGGAAACGGACATGGATCGAATGGTGGCTCCCGGTAAGTTGCAAGTTACTCAAATTCATTCGCATGGCACTTAAAGCTGATTATCTTTCGGTAGGCCGCAAGCTCCATCTCAACAGTACGGTGCTCCATCGGGCGGTGCTCCATCCCAGCAATACGGTGCTCCATCGGGTGGTGCTCCATCCCAGCAGTACGGTGCCCCAAGCGGCGGTAGCGGTTCTCGCCCTCAGGCCCCATCCCAACAATACGGTGCTCCATCAGGCGGTGCTCCATCCCAGCAGTATGGTGCTCCAGGAGCTGGATCTCGTCCCCAGGCCCCATCTCAACAATACGGCGCTCCATCAGGCGGTGCCCCATCCCAACAATATGGTGCTCCATCGGGTGGTGCTCCATCTCAGCAATATGGTGCTCCTTCGGGTGGTGCCCCATCTCAGCAATACGGTGCTCCATCGGGCGGTGCTCCATCTCAGCAATACGGTGCTCCATCGGGTGGTGCTTCATCAGGACGTGCTCCATCTCAGCAATATGGTGCTCCATCGGGCGGTGCTCCATCTCAGCAATACGGTGCTCCATCGGGTGGTGCTCCATCGGGTGGTGCTCCATCGGGTGGTGCTCCATCCCAGCAATACGGTGCTCCATCGGGTGGTGCTCCATCCCAGCAATACGGTGCCCCAAGTGGCGGTAGCGGATCTCGTCCTCAAACCCCATCTCAGCAATATGGAGCTCCAGGAGCCGGATCTCGCCCTCAGTCCCCATCGCAACAGTATGGTGCCCCATCTGCTGGAGGTCAATCTCGCTCTCAAGCCCCATCTCAACAATACGGTGCTCCATCAGGCGGTGCTCCATCCCAGCAATACGGTGCTCCAGGTGCTGGATCTCGTCCTCAGTCACCATCTCAACAATACGGTGCTCCATCTCAGCAATATGGTGCTCCAGGAGCTGGATCTCGTCCTCAGGCCCCATCTCAGCAATACGGTGCTCCATCGGGCGGTGCCCCATCCCAGCAATACGGTGCTCCATCGGGTGGTGCCCCATCTCAGCAATACGGTGCTCCATCGGGCGGTGCCCCATCTCAACAATACGGTGCTCCATCGGGCGGTGCCCCATCTCAGCAATACGGTGCTCCATCAGGAGGTGCTCCATCTCAGCAATACGGTGCTCCATCTGGCGGTGCCCCATCTCAACAATATGGTGCCCCATCTAGTGGTTCTCCATCTCAGCAATACGGTGCTCCATCGGGTGGTGCCCCATCTCAGCAATACGGTGCCCCATCAAGCGGTTCCCCATCGGGTGGTGCCCCATCTCAGCAATATGGTGCCCCATCAGGTGGTGCCCCATCTCAGCAATACGGTGCCCCATCAGGAGGTGCCCCATCTCAGCAATATGGTGCTCCTTCTGCTAGCTCTCGCCAATCTGGACCTCCATCAACCAGCTATGGAGTGCCAGCCGGTCCATCAAGCGGAAGTGCCGGACGCCCATCTAGCCAATATGGTGCTCCTGCTCCTGGAGGCAGCGGTAGCGGTGGATTCGGAGGACGCCCAAGCCAGCAATATGGTGCTCCATCGACTGCTGTAGGCCAACCATCAAGCCAGTACGGAGCCCCAGCCCAGGGTGGAAGCAGCGGATTCGGAGGACGTCCAAGCCAGCAATATGGTGCCCCATCGACTGCTGTAGGTCAACCATCAAGCCAGTACGGAGCCCCAGCCCAGGGTGGAAGCAGTGGATTCGGAGGACGTCCAAGCCAGCAATACGGTGCCCCATCTCAGGGTGCAAGCAGTGGATTCGGAGGACGCCCAAGCCAACAGTATGGTGCCCCAGCTCAACAGGGAGGTAGCGGTGGACGTCCATCTCAACAGTATGGTGCTCCAGCCCCATCATCCCAATACGGAGCTCCATCTCAGTCTCAGGGTGCCTCATCCCGTGGAGGTGCTCCATCCCAGCAATATGGTGCCCCATCCCAGGGAGGTTCTCCTTCTCAGCAATACGGTGCCCCAAGCAGCGGAAGTGGGCACAGCAGTGGAGGACACCAGGCTAGCGCCTCCTTCGGAAACGGTTTCTCTCAAGCTTCGGCTAGCAGCAGTGGATACGCTTCCAACGGTGGATACAGCTCCGGTGGTCCTGGATCGTCCGTCCCAGCCACTCTCCCCCAGTCATACACACAGAGCGGAGGCTACAACTACTAAGCACTGACGAAACCTGAGACTCAGACAATGTGACACGCAATGATCATGAATGTGCCTTAAACGATAGAAGTTATGATTTTCGTTACTTATTGTTCCAAAATTTGCAACATTTTCCTCCTATCGATTTGACTATTTCCGGAAACTACAAAGTCACCACCAAAATACTCCCAAATGATCTGAGCAAAACGAGCTATCAACGAAACTGTGAAAATTCTAAACGGAACTATGTTTTAACTGTTTATGGTTAATTAATTTAAATTATTCTTATATTATAGCTTAATTTAATGTTTTTGTATGCTAGGAATGACAAAAAACTTGTTTTAAAGAAGAAGAAGAAAGCAAACGCTTTGTCAACAGAGAAGAATCATCCGAGAAAGTACGAATGCTGAAAGCGAGATTTCATCCAAGCAAGCTAGCTTACACGATTTGTACTGACACACGCACACATCTGCGGCGTATCAACTCGAACAAACTCACAACGACAAATACGCGCCAGAGGTATGCGCGCGAATAATACGTAATGCATTTTTTCCAAACAATTGTTATCGTCGCAAACTGGTTGTCCAAAATTTTGGATTCATTTTCATCAGGAAAATTGTTTCTCAAAGTTGGATGACGTTTGCAGACAGAAGAGAGCGAAGACGAACATGTGAAAATAAAAATGAAGCATTTGCAATCATCATTTTCCTCCATAAAATACGTAGTTGGTTTTCAAATTAATTTGTGTCCGAAAGTCAAGGTTGGTTTATATGGGTTCAAAAACGACTAAAATATAAACGTATACAAAATAATGAAAAATGAGCACAAAAAAATCATAAATTTTCCACTAAATTATTCAGGGGTACATCAATGAATAAATGAAAAGCCGCAATAGAATTGAAGAAAAAGGCATAAAAAAATTGAAAAGTTACTTTCGATAATTCAATAGTGATCGGTAAAAATGACGAAAAAGGCAAAAGCTAATCGCATTTGCTCAATTAAATATGGATAAAAGTACACTAAATGAAGCCATTTGAGCGCTTCCCAAATTACTAAAAGCAATCGGAGTTTAAAATATTTTCCAATAAAAATAGAAAAATGAGCAATGAAAAACTGAATAATCACAATGAATAAATCAAAACGGTCCTATACAAAGAATATTGGTACCAATAATTCAACCAAAAGTTGCTGTCAAAGCGTGTAAATTTTCCTAAGAAATAAATCTTAAAGGCGTCTAAAAACTGAAAGTGTTCCAGAAAACAGAAAGCAAATGTACGCTTGAAAACGAGAATGATCTATCGAAAAATATGTTATGTTCTTTGATACAAGAGAATTGTTCACACGGAAAGGCGAAAATGAGCAAATATTAATTAACAATATGCAATAAATAATAAAAATTTAGCAAATTAAATGCATGAGATATGCATGTAAAATTGAAGTTCATGAGCCAATAAATTAGATAAATTTGCAAATGATTTGTAAATAAAAGCAACACGCAAAAAACAACTGTGTCTCGGCTAGAAAGGTCGATGTCGATAAAGAAGATGAGCGAGTTTGATCGAAAATAAAAAAGTATCATTAAAAATGCAAAAGAAGCACTACAAAAAGCATTTTGAGCAATACAAAGACCACAAAAGTCACTATAAAGCAAAGAAAAATACCACGCAAATTTCCAAATGATCATAAAAATATCCAAAAAATTTCATGACAAACAAATCGAATCAGCCTTAAAAAATATGAAATGAGCAACAAACCTATTGAAAATGACGAATGAAAACATATTTTGAGCATTGAAAAACTCCTGGATGCGAATGAAAAGCGAAACTTTGAAGAGACACAACTGCGTAACAGTTGAAAAAGATGATAAGGCCAACCCTTATAAAAATAACCATAAAAAGGAGCTTAACGACGTGTTCGGGGTATCGTCCAAACCATTTGTGGAATAGTTTACGCATTCGGGTTATCGTTCGTTTATAGTATTTGTTTATTTGGGAATCAGATGAGTTGATGTGAGTGGAGCAGTATTGTTACAAAATGTTCCACAATGGCAGCGAACTTCTCAGAAACAGGAAATAACCATGGGCAGCGGTAAACCTTAACTTCATAGCAAACATTGAAACTCCTCTGGAAATGTCGATAAAGCAGACAACTGATTTGAATGATCCCTACTGGCAACCGACAATAGGTCTCTTTCCATACTTTCTGCAGCATGGGGTTTTCTTACAGCAATATACAACAGGGTGCAGCCAAAAGGATGTACGGAAACGGAAATAGTTTAGCACCGCAACAAAATCGCTTATAGGTATATGAAAGCTAGAAGCAAGGAAGTGGATAGGTAAAAAACGTTGCAGATTGGATTTTTCGAATTGAAGAGGACCATCAAAGACAACGAAACTGAATGGGAGAGAATGCAGCACAGGTGATTCAGTCCAGATTTAGGCTTTATTTCTCATCATCTCAAATAAAAGTTAACAAAGAGTATTGAAAAGAAGTTGACATTTGCTTTATTTCCTTCAAATATTGCAATTTTCACGAATTAGATGGTTTTGTGACAGCTTGTTACTTGAACACAGTATCATAGAAAAACAGCATATTTTTAGAAGAAAAAAAAATGTGAGGTTTGACGCATATGCCGAATCTGAAAAAGAAAGTTGAACTATAACGGATTTAAGGACATATTATCTACCGTCCCAGGATGACTGGCTTTCACAGCCACTTCAAACATTCGGAGGGCTCAGATCTAGAAGACTACTGGGATATCGCGCAACAATTTTGCTCACTCAGCACATCCAAATTTCTTGCCTGAATTTGCAATAGCCTCTAAGATTTGGGTTCTTGAATGCTTGAAGTGGCAGTGAAAGTCAGCCATCCTGGGACGCTGGATCATATGTCATTAAAAATACGAATATTACCTTAGGATCAACGTTAACGATCTAATCGATGATCAACGCTCGCTCATCGCTTTTGGCCTGCCAGCTGACGATGTGTTCGCCTCGGGCCGTAGTTTATAGCGACCGCGGGAAACAGCAGCAACTACGATATGGTGACAACTGTTGGTTTTAAAAAACGTGTAGCAGGTGGAACACCATGCACGTCAATCAATGTCCGTGGCATCCACCCGGTGAACGCAGCCGATACTTTGGCTGTATTCATCAAATGCAGTATACCGCGGATTGTGGAAAACGTCGATATCATGGATTAAAACGTCCTGCTTCTCATGTCCTGGGAGGAACGCGTACACCTTTCCATTGTCCCAGTCATTCACCGTACGGCATTTCTTGCCGCTTTGCAGCCAATCATGTGCCTTGCGCTCGATACTAATACCATACTCTCTCGCATGCTGGACCGTACAATTTGGCGCCGAGTATCTCTCCACTACGGTCAGAATTCGACTTTAGAAAATTCCGAACGGAACCCGTTCCTTCATCAGATGGCATTCTTTGATTGCTCTATTCACGGCCTCCAGGGCATTGTTCGTAGCTGGACAACCGGGCTGGTACGCTTCAAACCAATTTCTGTAGAACTCGTCAAACATATACTTGTCAAAAAAGCTTAAAAAGTCGGCGGAATCTTGATACTTTGCCTGGATACAGGCAAGGTCAAAGTGATGCTTCGTTGGGGAGATCTGCATGCGACTGATATCGGTTTGCACCTGGGCCATCTTATACTTCGAAAACTCCTAGGAGTTCTTCTTCAGATGCTTGCACACATTTTGCATCACGTGGAAAAAGCAGTTAACAAGCTGGGTATTCGACCCAAAGCTAAGGCAGCTTTTTTCAATGCGATTTCACCGTCAGAGATGAATGTCGCCACTGCCAGCGGTATTCCGAAGGCCTTGCACCTGTTTGCGATTGTAGCGAAAACGTAACAATAGTCCACCTCTTCTTGCCTCGTCACAGTAGCAAAAGCCACTGGGTGGGCATGTCGCATGCTATCAATAACGCAGATGACCATCAGGGGGTACCCCTGAAGGGTAGTCTTGTACGTACAATCAGCGGCAATGGTATCAAATGAAGTGAGCAAAGTTAATAGTTTTTTACTACTGTACACTACACGAAAACGGCCGTTCTCATGATCTATGTCATGACCGATTACAAAAGGTGTCTCCAGATCAGCTGGTACGGCTGAGCACGATTTGGCCCACTCTGCAAGCTCACCTAAATGTTGCAAATTAATTGGAATAGAGTCATATGTTAAATTACAATTAATTACAATACTTTGATGAGACAATGAATTCCCATTCCCACGCTCCTCCCCTGGTCCTAGCTTTAAACATTTCCCTCTAACCTCAAGAAGTGGGTGGTGGTGCGGTGGTGGTTTAGGGGGTTAAACGAGTGTTTTTTTTTTTGCAAAGCAATGTAAATAGATACAGGACTTCATTGTCATCTAGCAGCACAGCAAAAGGCAAAAGTATGTTCCCGCAAATTATGAAGTATTCGATTTTCTTTCAGCAAACTGGAGTAACTTACAGCAAAAGAAAAAAAAACAAGTTCGAGAACAAACATCTTACCGGTATACCTCGATTATTTGCACACAACACTTCCATCGCTGATTTCTTGGCAACTGCATCTCAATTACACAAACAATGTTTCCAATAGATAGGAGGATGTCTCCTCTATGAGATGTTACAAATCAACACTAATAAAAAAACAATCGATTGATTACCCAAATCATCGATTTATTCCATCCAAAACACGTCGGTAAGCAAAATAACCATAACAATTCTATTAAAGAATCATAATCTAACCATTAAAAAATTTGCTCCTCAATACATGTGTACAGTATTCACCTGAATAAAAAGAGTTTACTTTCCTTTCCCGTGCTTACGGAGAGAGAAGAGAAAACACTTTTATGACCTATAAGGCATTCCATGAGACGTTTCGCAGTTGAACTGACAGATAAAAAGCTGTGAGTGTGTGAGTGATCAGGTGTTGCCGATGCAAGATATAAATATAAACAAAGCAATTTTCAATGGGAAAGATCCATCAATTCAAGTGTGAACTGTAAAAAATTATCATGGAATGGCTTATTGTAACTGTCAAATCTACACAAATGCTACAAGAAGTTTGAATCGTATGCTTACGGTTTCTATCAGTCAAATTATTGACTTCGACTCTCAACCAATGA